TGGATTTAATTTTTTTGCTTCAATGTGGTACAACTTCTAGATATAATCAAACATTTGACAGGCAAAATGTTACATCAAAATTTTGAGACTAAATACTATGCTGATAACCTGTTATGAAATACATATACAGGGTCTGTGAAAACCCTGTGGAAGCGACATGAAATAGAACCGATATCTACACAATTTACAGAATTACTTTCTTACCTAAAGTTCTGCAAAACTCCGCTGTTGCATTCAAAACAATAGTTCCTCCATCAACATTTTCCTCTTCAGGTTCCGTCTTAACTTCTGTTTTGATTATATCAGCAATAACGTCTTCTTTTTGTTTTTTCCTTCGCATATTGTGTAAGGCTCTCTCCAAGAGAGAGTCGTTTTCTTCTTCCAGTTTGATATCGGTAGGAATGTTCACTGCTGGTAAGTCGTCTATGTCATAGTCGGTCTCGTTCTTGATTTTTGGTCTTCTAGATCCTATGGCCTCAATACCCGCATTGTCAGGTTTTATTTCGTTCATAGTGAGGAGCTTTCCTTTAGATCTTATACTCCTGACTTTCTTTTTCTTCGGTTTCTTGAACTTGGCCAATTCTTCTTCATTGTAATAATCCGAAACTAAGGTCAGATTTTTATCTGCAATACTTTCCAGTTTATTTTTGTTTAGTTTAGCTTTCAACGTTTCCATGGCTGCTTGCTTTCGCTGAACGCCGTTATCGTAACCGATTTTAAATGAACTGGCGACCTCTTCATTGTATTTTGAAAGCACAGGTTTTTCTTGAAAATTTCCATATTCATCGAACTCGTCTTCGTAGGTGTTGTGTACGGTCTTTTTATTTTCAATATTCTGAAAAGTAACTATACATTACCACAAAATACAAATTTAGTCCTCGGAAAAACAAAAAAAATTAATGTTGGTCATCAAGAAGGATGTCAAGTTGAAATCTATAATGAGACACATTTATAAGAAACTAAATATTTCGAAATAAAATCTCAAAATATTCATCTCTCCCAACTACCTACACCGTAGGTTCTAGTAAATGCTTGCCGGAAAACAACTACTTCCCCGGCTAATATCATGCCGGATATTGACCTTTATGCAAGATACCACACAGAGGTTAGTCTCGCAGATGTTTCTCATTCAGCAACAGGATAATGCTGAAATTATTTGAGTAGATTACCCCTACAGACCATTTTGGAGGTACTACCTCTAATCAGTGTAGGAAAGGTCTGAAAGCAAGGTGTTTGGGACTCCATTAATTTCAGGATATACCAAAAATGATTAGATAAAACGCTAGCACAAGGAATAAATATTACTGGAGTTTTTTCCCAACACCAAATCGTTATTTTTAACACCTTGACACGTGTTTCGATCACCAAGTGATCATCTTTAAAGAGGAAGATTTAAAACTATAAACTAAGTTTATAGTTTAGAAGACTAAAACCATAAACTAAGTTTATAGTTTTAATCTTCCTCTTTGAAGATGATCACTTGGTGATCGATTGGTTAAAAATTACGATTTGGTGTTGGGAAAAAACTCCAGTAATATTCATTACTTCACCAAAGGTTCCAAACAGTGCATCATAAGCTAGCACAAGGTATTATATCCAAGGGGGACAAAATAGAAATTGACGAATAAATAAACATTCTTTGAGAAAAATGAAAATTCACCTTCTACAGTGCAGAAAATTTGAAAAGGACAGTACTTGAGCTACTCACTGTAGAACCAGAACCAAATATAAACTTAGTGTTCCACAAACAAGAATAAATAACCAGCAAGATGGATGTCCACCTCTTCAACAGCTTGCCATCTCATTTCTAAAATTTACCATCTACTCATTACGAACGGTACACAAAAAATGTGGGAATCTTACATTTTTTGGAAGTCAAAACTTTTCTCTCCCAAAATCCAATCTCTACTAAAAATATACCCCTTTCAATTTAAACAAGATTCCTATGGCTGGGATT